TGTGTGTGTGTGTGTGTGTGTGTGTGTGTGTGTGTGTGTGTGTGTGTGTTTTCTGTTTCTTTCTTGTGCCTCTTCTCGTCTAGCATTGAGCTTCCTTGCCCTGTCTGGTTCTGCTTTGTGTTTCCTCAAGTTTTGTTGTTTTATATTATTTTAACTGTGACTACATCACAGCCGGAATGTGGCTGTAAATGTATTTCTCTCTTACTCAAGAAAAAGTCCCAATTTTATGCTAAAATCATATTTTTCTCTGCAAACATAAAAGTACATTTTTGAATCATTTGCTGTAAAATGCTACGAAGGTGGAAAAGGCCTGAGGCCACCAGCAAGACCCTTCTAAAGACAAATTAAATGTTTTTGCGGCCGTGAAACAAAGTTAGAAAAACAGAAAAAACGTTGCCAATAAAACTAAGAATAACTACTGAAATGTGCTAAAGAATAAGCAATAAAAAATACACGGAGCTGCCTCAGTACCACACGTTCTGCCTCTTAAAGCCTTTTCAAACCAATTGATTTTACGATGTGTGAAGATGAAATCGATTGGCAACAGTCCAGCCTGTGGTCACATGGCCTCCTGATAACTTAGACGGTCTTTGTATGATTTTCTGTCTCCTCTTTGTTTCTTCTGCATGAAGCAGAATTTACGACTTTCCTCAGACTGACMGAGGAACAAAACATCATCAGCAGCTGTTTTCTGCTCTTTGACAGACTGACTTTAGACGCTCCTGATGTCCAACATGTGGACTTTTCCARATGTTGCTCTGCTCTCTTTTCACCAAAAAGTTTTGAACATTGTGGATTTCAAAGCATCAGAAAACTTGTTTTGTTTGTTTGTTTTTTGACAGTGAAACAGCAAAAAAATGACTCCAAGTCAGTTCATAGGATCTGTGTCTGTGAAAGACAAGTTTTGAACAAGTCAAGCCAAAAACGTGTTTTTTTTTTTTTTTACTTTTTCAGAGTGATGCCTGAGGAACGTTGATGATTGTTTTATTTCATTTTACACGGTTTGGATAAATCAAACCAGAATGTGAAAACTGTCAGGCCTTTCAAGAAAAGCTGTCTTCTGCCAAGAAAGAAACCAAACAATATAAGAATGAAGACTTTTTCCCAGGAATTGATAGTTTTAGCTTTTGTAAATTGCATTATTTTGAACTGCATGGAGGAATGAGTTCTGAGTCCCAATGAAGCCGGATCACTTGGACTCCTCTTGTTGATCTGAGACCCAGATGAGACGGGGGATTTTATCAGTTTTATGACCCGACTTCAAGACTCAGACGTTTGTCTCTGCTCACATCATCTGATAATCATAAACTTTCATTTGTCTTTACCAAGGTCTACAAAACCGATGATGTAAAGTTATTTTTACAAAGGCTAAAATCTTCAMAATATATTGACAGAATGTGTTTATTGTTTTTTGTTTTGTTGAGTTAAACACTTTTCTTCAGGAGGAAATAAATGTTATAAAGTTAAAAATACAGGAGATGAAACTTAAGAAGACATCCTGAAAACAGCTTTTAATCCCCCTTTTTTATGTTATTGCTAAAGCCTGCTGGACAAGTTGACAGAACTGTTTCAGATTGCTTTTCCTTGCTGGTTTGTGGAGAAATGATGTGTAAAATGATACGATTTACATGGTTCATTTTGTGAACCGCAGCTCAAAGCCAATTTCAACTCTTCTACATGTAAAWGTCATAGAGAGTAAGACAAATTTCACTAAGCTAATAGAAAAAATTGTTGTTGCTGGTTTTGCTGTGGACAGTCTAAACCTCAAACTGGATTATGGTTTCTGGGCAAAATAATAAACATCCTGGGGGCAATTTTGTCAAATTCTTCAGAGTGATGTGGAGGACTTTGATGCCCAATGASATATCTGTATAAGAAGTGCAGCATGTGAGGAGAGCTGAGATAACCTTAAAAGTGCTGGATGTAGAGATGGGCTACATCCATTTTTAGCTAAAATAAACCAGAGGAAGGGGAAACCCAAGAAACCACAGAATTTGGACTCACTAAAAGTGGTGGCAG